CTAGACTGAAGAACAAAACGACAGCAACTTGTCTGTTCCCCTTTCCCCAATTCCCCAGCACTGTTCCCATCCCCCCAATTTCCCAATAAAAATCTTAAAAAAAAAAAAAAAGAAGATATTTCAAACTTCCCCTGACAACATAAAGACGAGGCCAAAACCTAGCATATCTTCAACAAAATATCTAGCTCTGACATTTCCATGTAAATTAATGTTCAACAGACAACTGGCATCACATTGTGTCTGCAATCATCCCTAACCTCTCAATCCTATTGCAGGGATGACCATACTCACAGATCCTCTCGTATCATTAATAACAACAGCTGGGAGAAAGGGAAAAGTGTTTCAGAAAGAACACTCATCACCTGATCCTTCACTATCAACTGATATTAAAACTCCTTAAAGCATTTCTACATCTATGACATCTAAATTCCTGAATCCAAAAATAATTTGGGAGAACAAACCAAGCCCTCCCTTTCACCAGGAAAAGGCCCACACCAGACCTGCCTACTAGGATTAATTAATACATAGACACCTGACACAAGCATTGTAATTAAAACCTATTCCTTCTAATACATTAATCACATTTCTACCAAAACTCACAAAATCAGTTACTTTTGCTTTTAACAAGAAAACTGAAACCAATCTGATGTCAATTACAGGTTACTTTGTAAATGAAAGCCAAATTAAAGTTGTTAGTAATTAAAGTTTTACAAGCATTACAAAGTTAAAAATGTGGCTTTTATATAACCATAAAAATAACAATGTATTTGCATCTATAAAATAAGAAGCGTTTCCTACCCAGAATAAAGGGTTATGTGTCTCTAGAAGTAAAGATCCCTGGGATATGCGTGTTACTTTACAAGACCAGGATCTGGGTTTGGGTCTGAATCATCTGATCTGGTCATATTATCTGATCTTAACCTGATTTGACACCTTTATATCTAAAACAAATTATAACCCTCTTCTTGAAACAAAAGATGGATCATGCAACAACTATGGACTTTCAAAAGAAATTTTAGTTTGAAAACAATCACCCATTGCTGTTTTCACGGATTTTACAGATGATTTAGGGCTATGCATCTGCCATGAAGTGTCCAAAATGCTCATTGTCTCTGTGAAAGGGACTCCGATTTTGGAGTCCTCAACAGACCGCCACTGAATAGAAAAATCCAGGGGGAAAACCCCTTACAGGGATTAGCCTGAACTTTTTATTTCCTTTTCAGAGCTGGAAATATTCGAGTTTGGAAAGTCCCCCAACAGAATAGTACTTGCAACACTACAACCTGGCCTCAGCTATGAATTTAAACTGGGAGACAAGCAGCAGCCCCGTAATGCTGGAGAGTGAGAAAGGGCAGATGAGGGTGAGGACTGGTCCAGGGCCTCTGGAGCCCGCTAGCGAGGGGCACCAGCAGACACCGCTGGCACCTACACACATCCAAACCCCCACGTCGGAGGCCCACAGCACAGCTTCGCGCTCACCCTTGAAGGTGGCACTACAGAGCCACCTAGAAGACACAGGCATTTCATTGAAGACTAAATGAGAGTGAATCCAGGAGCCTGCGGTAGTGCAGCTCCCTACCACAGCCTCCAGTGTGTGTGGGGGAATCAACGCCTAATCGGGGCTCAAGGATGTGGGGCGATGGTAAAGTGCAATGCAGAAAAGGAAAGAATGAAGAAGCAGTCAAGAGTAGAGAGTGGCCTGGCCTGAGTGAGAAAGGAAGTGGACTAGACTGAAGCGGTCTGAACCAGAGGGGAAGTGAGAAGAGACCTGGGAGAAGCTACAAGATAGGATTGAGGAATTCGAGGCTGAAGTAAAGGGTGGAGGCCGCGAGACAGAAGCAAGGGGGCGGGGCTGGGAGATAAGCGAGGGCGGGACTAGGTAGAAAATGATGGGCGGAGTTTAGGAGGGAAAGTGAGGGGGCGAAACTAGGGGAGTAGAAAGGGGCGGGGCCAGGAGGGGAGAAGCAAGGGGGCAAGAGGGGTAGAGAGAGGGGAAAGCAAGAGAGAGGATGGGAAAGGAGAAGTGGGGGCGGGCAGGAGGGAGAAGCGAGGGCCATGGTTTGGGGAGAGACAGGGAAGCCAGAGAGGATGGGAAGGTGGTGAGAAGAGAGGGGCGGGGCCCGGAGGGAAAAGCGAGGGGGCAGGTGAGGGCAGAGGAAAGAAAGCGAGGGGAGGAGCTCGGAGAGGAGAAGCGAGGGGGCACAGGGGAGGAAAAGGTGGAGAACGAGGAGGATGGAGGGGAGAAGCGAGGGGGCAGGTGGAAGCGAGGAGGGAAGCGAGAGGGCGGATGGGGGGGGTGAGAAGCGAGGGGGCGGGGCCGGAGAAGCGAGGGGGCGGGGCCGGAGGGAGAAACGAGGGGCACTCGCCCAGGGGGGTGACGAGGTCCTGGGACAACGGCCGGCGTGGGGGAGGGCCACTTCAGCAGGGCGCTCCGCGGGAAATTCCAGGCCGTGCGGGGTGCCAGTGGGCGCTGGGGTGGGGGGGGCGGTGTGGGCCTCCCACCCGCCGTACCTGTCAGACGGATCTTGATGCTGGAGCCGTTCCTGCGCGTCCCGGGGTTCGACATCTCCCGCCAACGATCGTGCAGCCGCGGATCCAGCGCCGCCGCCCCCCGGCCCGGCCCGGCCCAGCCCCGCCGCCGCCGCCTCCTCAAGGTTACGGCTCCGGGCTGGGCGCCGGGGTCCGAGCCGGGACACAAACTCCGCAGCCCAGGCGTCCGGGCGGCGGGCGGATGGTCGAGCCAGGGGATCGGCGCTCCACCCGGCGCCCGACCCTCGCTCGCTCACAGACCAGTCTAGTCCGGAGCCGCCGCCTCCACCACCTCAGAGCCGGACGCCCGCCGCCCTCGCCGCTTCCGCCGCCGCCGCCTCCCGGAGCCGCGCGCGCTCCCGCCGNAGTGAAGCAACATCCTCCACAACTAGATTGAAGAACAAAAGGACAGCAACTTGTCTGTTCCCCTTCCCCCAATTCCCCAGCGCTGTTCCTATCCCCCCAGTTCCTCAATAAAAATCTTTAAAAAAAAAAGAAAGAAAAATTCCTAGGGGCAGAATTATTAGATCAAAGGGTACAGACATTTATTATCTGCTAGTACAAAACTGTCCTCCTTACTCCATTGTATTAATTTACATTCTCAACGAATAGGACAAAAGGGTTTCTGCTTTTGTATACCTTTGTCATCATGACATTTTCAAACTCTGGTCTCTGACAATCTGCTAGATGAAAAACTATTTCACCTTTAGTTTTAATTGATATTTTGTTTTGAATTCATTTTCATTTGTTCTGTGAATTGCCCCTATTCTTTGCCAAATAAGTTATGGGCCTTTTTCTAATTGATTTTGAAAGCTCTTTATATATTAAGGAAGCTAGACTTTCATTTTCATATAGATTGCAAATTGGTTTTCCTAGTTTGTCTGTGCATAACAATTTTTATCCATTTTATTTTACCATGGAGAAATTTCCTAACTACTAAAGTTTTTTATTTTATAATTATTTTTCAGCTGATTCTTTTGGATTTAAGATATAAAATCATATCATCTGCAAGTAATAGCAATTTTGCTTTCTGCTGTCTTTCTTTCATTAACAATTGTGACAGTGTACATCCCTGCATTGTTCCTGATTTTAATGGAATGCTTCCAAGGTTTCATAATTAAAGATGATGCTGGCTTTGGCTTGTAACACTGATTCTCCAAGGAGCTTTCTGAATGCATAGAGAATTTACCAATTCGTTCTTGAGTATTATTTTTCCATGTTTACCAGTAGGTTCTGTAGTTTTTCTCCAGTGTCAAAGTGCATCATTAGCTTCAACATTTACATGGAATAAGAAGTAACAGGGATCTAGGGCTCTGTATTTACCTTGTGTTACTCTATAAATAATTCAAACTTATCTTGCATTATGAATAGAAAAACTGAGTCATGAAAAGATTATAATTGCACCCACCTCACTTCTTCATTGTGGCACTTTTGTGAGTTAGAAGTAGAATTCAGACTTTCTGATTCCCAACCTAGTGTTTAAGCCACAAGAAACCACCGTGGCCTTTAGAGAATTTAGCGATGCCCAACACACGAGAAGAAAGCAGGCTGCTGTCTACAGCCCGTAGCTTCACAACGTTCTTTTCCAGGCTCCTGAAAGCAACCTCCAAGTTGGACTCAGGAGCTTCAAACATCTGAAATGCATCACCCAGCAGCCGGCATAATAGGTTCACGCTCAGTGATACATGATGTTGCTGACATTCCTCAGCCAATTAGAATTCCTTTCAGCTGCAATGGAGGTGAACACAGCTGGAATTACAGAGTGGGGAGCATCACCAGCCGCACTGATTGTACATTATTTAAGCCTTGTTTGAAAACAATACGAGGATTTTTCCCCTTTAATCCAGAAACATGAAAACAACATTCCACTTAGTTTAAATATCTAAATGGAGTAAATTGCATCTGTAGACACAACAGTAATTCCAATATTTTTAAAAAAGATTTGCCGGATCCACATGGCGAGAGAGAGGCTTTTGTTTTGCCAATACAGCTCTGCGGCTCTTCTTTGACTAGAGTGGCCTTAGGAACTGGTCAGCTAGAGTCACAGTGTCCTGGACAACAAGCCAATTTAAGTTTGGGGCTTTCTCTCAATAAAATTCACCAACAACAAGCAAACCAGTAATTGAAGTTGTTCAGTGACCTCAAAACACATATTTTTAAAAATTCTCTATTTGTTAAAAAAAATATTTAACCTCTAAAATTGTTTTGAAATTTGATCCAAATAAGAATACTAAAAGTTAGGGTTTCTCAACTAGAAAATACCAAATTATTTCATCCATTTCAGAAGGTCTTTTGAACGTTCCTTTCGGCACTCACTAAAATGCACAATTCAGCTATTTTAACTTCTAACCAGTGCCCACAAATGTGTTACACAACAACCAGTCTAGTTAACTGGATCATTGAGCTGATGTTGAAATATTATGGGTCAGTCTTTATTATTATTATTATTCATGAGGAAATACTTCTTGAAAGAACTTCAGCCCCCAGAACTTCCCCAGTTTACCCGATGTTCCACACTAGAACCTGACAAGGTGACAAAACAGAGAAAATGAAAACTTGTAAAAGGAAAAACTCGAAGTCCAGACACCAATCTCATGGTTGCAAAAACAGGAGTCTTGAACTTTGTCAAATAATAGATGTGAAGTCAAAAACTGTAGTTTGATAAATCACAACTATGGTAAAAATACAGACAGAAATAAAGTATATGAGATATTTCATTTCTCAAGTCTGTTAGGTGGGTCAAGAAAAGTAAAAAGAAAAAAATGGATTTTTAAAAAAGGTTTTTCTAAAGACAACACAAATGTGATCAAATCAGAAATGAAATCAATAATAGAACCTGTATTTGGCAGTACACGACTCCTTTTAAAGTATAACTGTCGTTGTTTAAGTTTTGCAGTAGTATTTGATTTAACCCATCCCTCACCCTTAGATAATTCAGCTCAAAGAAGTGCCTCAACAGTACCTCATAAACTGGAGGCCGACCCTGAGGAAAACATGCAAGCTCAGGCCTAGCGCATGAAATTCCATCTTATCCGAGTTAGCAGTTAAAAGTTTTGCCTGCCTTACATAGTGAGGTCCTTTGCTAGGAGAAATTGACAAAGGCAACGCTCTTACTAGATCTCTTTATCTTTCTTAAGAGAAACATAACTATTTCAAATCAATTAGGTCACCTAACTGTTACTGAACAATGAAAGTTATTAACAGCTATTACTACAACTATTCCAAGTTGCGTCATCTGAATGCCATAACACAAGTCAGCCTCATATCACATGGGCAACAACTTTAAAAACTGCCTCCACTCCCAAATGCTACCACGGAAGGTCTCTTTCCCCCCTCTACTTGGAATTAGAATTTTTCTCTCTTCACAATGCATAGTCACGCTCCAAAACATAAAAACACAAGGAGATCTGAGAGTATTTCAAGGCATAAAAGCACAAAAAAGTTTAGTCATTTGGTGTTTCAACTAACTGGTTAACATTAGAATAAAATTTAATTTGAAGAGCACTGTGGAACCCTTAGAGCTCAAAATTCCATTCTTTTACCCAAAGTGGCCTAAATAACATATCTGGGATTCATTTGTGTGCCACATAAGAACAAAGTTTTTGCAAATCCTGCTTGAATTTAAAATGAAAACGTTTCCCAAGTGTTTGATTTGCCAGTGAACTCTAAAATGTCTGCAAGATAATGTTCTTTAATAAAGATCACTCGACTTTGAACATATTATGCCCCCAAACCTATCGAAACCTTTAAAAACTATGATCCTGCTAAAAAAACCACAGATGTTCATTAAAATTATATTCTTTTAAATATAAAGACTCAAACATTCTTTGTTTAGGCCAGGTTTCCAAAGCAGTTCAACATACTACCCAACAGTTTTCAAAAACAAAAGGGGTTCCACAGGAAGCAAAAAAAGGGAATAAATCATAAATGTAATCAACACACAAAAGTAACGCTTGGCATCAAACACGAGTCCTGTGTTTTAACGCAAATTTCTGAATATCAGGATTGAGCCCTAACAGAAAGTCCAAGCACCCAACAGTAATTTGGAATAAGCCAAATTGATAGATCTGTGAGAAGGAGAATCAAAGAATGTTATAAAAGAAGTTAAAATCTCATTTTATATGAGGAAACTGAGTCCCAGAAAGGTTATATAATTTGTTCTATGTTATGCAGTTTATGGCAGATCTGACCAAAACTGAGTCTCTTAATTCTAAATTCAATGTTTTACTCACCATCAAATACAACTGCAGACCCCAAAGTTCTAAATGCTCTTTCATAACTCTAATGTCTTCATATTTTGCATTGAATTATGCTCCGTGTGCTATTCACTAGTTAGAATAGCTCTCATTTCTTAATGTCATTTGTTCAAGTATCACACGTGGAAATAAATTCTGAAACAAGTAACAAAAGTATATGACTTTTGAAAGATGTCTATCCAACTTGCCAGAAGAAGATATTTCAGGGCCGGCCGAGTGGCGCGATGGTTAAGAACTCCCTTGGGATGCCAGAGGGCCCCGGTTCGGATCCCACATATGAGGGCCAGTGACACTGCCCTCCACAGCTAAGATGCTGAACAAC